CAAAAATGTCCAGATCATGACCTCCTAAGAATTAGTGACCTCACGGCCATAGGATTCAATCCTTTCTGTTAGCGCTTACAGTGGGAAGCTAGGCAACCATGTTTGCGCTATAACAATGTGGACTAAAGAGGAATGCGGGGGCTTTTGGCCGACAAAGAATGGCTCATTGGATGGGCTGAGTTATCTGTGAATAAAGAGTGAGATTGGTGAAACGGATTATACATGCTGCTACCTCAGATACCGTTTCTCTAGTTACCGCACAGCCAAAGAATAGGTCCTCATGGCCGAAGGGAGTAACGCAACATATTCTACAAGGAAGGCGGAAGGTTTGGTCTACGTGGTGAATATCCAAAAGCCAGACTGACCGCGATGCGTACCTGAAACTCACGAACTGGCGCAACACAACAGTCAGGAGATACAGGAGGTTATTTCTGGCTAACCTAGCCAATAAACTCAAGGAGAACTCTAAAATCCCACACCAATTCCTTTCGGAGGGAAAACCAACCAACCAGGGGGTGTAGTGGACCTTTTGCTCTGTAAGCTTATTTACCCAAAATTCAAATAGAAAACAAAAATACCAAATCAATTGAGTTTACAAAGATCCAAATTCCACAATAAACGTACTGGATTCCAGAAGTGCTGTGGGAAGACTGCTCCAGTTCTAATTCTCCAGTGTTGACGTTGCCGGAGGTCGACCAAAGTGCGTAGGAAGAGGCTACGGTGCTCCTGCAAAAATTCGAGATTGAAAGCAGGTTGTTATAACTGATCGACGGCAGTTGAGATGGCGGAGAAGACGTAGAGTCGAAGGCAGAATTATATATATTTTTTTAAAACTCGAGGGAAGTTCAAAGTACAGAGCTTTTGGTTAAAACAAAGTAGTGTACAATATGTTCATTTTTTACATAATAGTAAAATTTGGATAAGTTTATTTTTGAGGACTCCACAGGGGCATGCGACTTAGTAGTTCAATAAAGGTCAACACCTTGCTAGTCTGGAAATGGCTGAAATATTCAGTTTAGCCTTCGTCAAACAGTTAGACAGCAGTGTAGGTATTACTAGTAAGGACCAAATTGGCGGCACAGCTATTTCACCGGAGGAAAACTTAGTGGCTACTCTCCAGATAAACCCGACAAAAGAACTGAGGAAGCTACAGAGACCCACATCTGAAAAGTCCCCAGGTTTTGTTGACATCAAACCACCTGTTCGGAACAATTCGCTGAGGCTCTCTGTAAGCCCTTACGCGACTTGTTCCAACCCCAAGCGGATTCAGGAAAACTGCCAAGGGATAGGAAAAGAGCCACCCTTTCGCCAATTTTTAAGGATGGGGACAGGGAAAATGCCACTAGTTATAGACCAGTGGCTCCACTTCCAGTGATATCAAAAGTACTGGGAAGCATAATTGATGACCACATCCGGGAGGACCTCAACAGGTCTACTAGAATCCCTGAAGCACAACATGCTTCCAGGAGAGGCAGATCATGTGCAGCAGACCCACTATTAGCTTTGGACGATTGGACATCATGCTGGTATGTGAACGCTCCATTTCACGTGATCTGCGTAAACTTTTGGGAAGGCCTTTGACTCAGTTCACCACGACCTTCTCCTACATAAAATAAGTCAGACAGGTATAGGTGAGTCAATTCTGTCATAGTTGAAGGACTACCTAGCTGAAAGGAAATTTCGCACTGAGGTCAATCTAGCCCGATCATCCTAGCACAGATCGTCATCAGGAGTGTCGCAGTGCTCTATCCTAGGGCCACTGTTGTTTTTGATTCTAATCAACGACCCAGCACGCTGCCTAAACTTCCCGACTTTTCTTTATTCCGATTACGTATAAATTTTAAGAGCAAGAATTTGTTCGGAAGACTCAGAGAGGCTGCAGGTGGACCTAAAGATTCTGAAAAACTGGATGGTGGCTAGTGGTATGAGTTTCAACCTGAAAAAGTACATGGTAATGACATTACGCATCTGTAGACTGCAGAATGCAAGTTGACCCTATGCAACGAAAGCTTGACCTGCACAACGTCGGAGCGTGACTTAGGTCTAGTTCTAACGAGAAAAATGGGCACAGGCGTAAATTAAACGGGAGATGTAGCGAGGGCATATGCGGTCATACTTATTACACACGGATGGTTGGGTGCGCTCACTCCTGAGCTATTTCTAAGGTTGTACAAAACATACTTCAGAACACACCTTGAAGTGCAAAAGATAATCGCATTCCCACTGCTTAGGAGAGGCTGGGTCGTTGGTGTGCGCCGAGATGGAAAGCTACCTAAAATGGCGGCCACATTGCAAACCTCACTGATGGAATTCAGTTTGCACCAAACAAAGGACTGGCTAGACACATGACACTAGTTACTAGTGTCCAATTAAATTATTCAATACAGTCCTACAAGAGGTCGATTGTGAACCAGAATAGCTCAGTGGTAACGTCTCTGACTGCAGCAGTGGGTGACGAACCTTAGAAGGGGCATGAGTTCCTTCGAGGTTGCAGATATACCTTTTTGATGAGTGCCAGCTAGCACGAAATCCAGGTTCAATGCTTCCTTCCGATTTCCTCCAAACATCTTACTGCACTAATTAAGTCTGTTGTAATTAAGTCCTTTGTTTTGTCGACGACACTGGGGGACTAACTGGTGAAAGGATCAACTCCGTTCACAGTAGCAACACGGTCTTAGCACACCGTATTCTGCAAACAACATATAATTAGTCCCAGCACCATTCATCAACAGCTGTCTTCGCTCAATACTCAGGATCAGATGGCCAGAAAAGATCAGCAACAGGGATCTCTGGCAATGAGCGAACCAACCAGGAACCAATTGTGAAACAAAAAGGCAGGAAGAAATGGAGATGGATTGGCTGGCCATACTCTGAGGAAACTGTCAAGTGACATCACTAAACAAGCCATTGCTCGAGTGGAACCCGAAAGGGAAGCGGCGAGTTGGTCGTCAGTACAAGGGTGACTTGGAGGAGGTCATGTGAAGAGGAGATGAAAGCATGTGGGCAGACTTGTAGCCAGGTGAAGACTCTATCAGAGAACCGAACGCAATGGAGACGCGCGACTGAAGCCCTATGTTACTCTAGGAATTAAAGAAAACAATAATAATAAAGCTGTGATATGACTCATATATATGACTCAATGGGGATTTTCAATCTACTCAAAGCTGTGATAGTCGAGTGGCGCGATGAACTACACAGAGATTTACCGAAGATCTTTGACCTTTGCCTAGCAACCAAGAAGAGAGCACCAAGAAATCAAATTGGTTTACACTATGTTGTAAAAACCACATTAGGTATTGGGTGTCATACATGACGTTAATTCTAGAAGGCCAGGCTGACTTGCGTTCAGCATCTGGGAGGTTATTATCAGTATTTCAGTATTTTCACTATAATTGTTGATACTACGGGTGTGATAACAATTGGTCTGTAGAAAGTGAGCTTTATTTCACATCGGATTTATATCAGAGTAAAGAAAATGTTTTATCTCCACATCTCGGCAAGTAAAAGTTTCTGAAGACATGAAACATGAAAACAACAGTTGGGAAGTTTGAAAACTTCCACATTTTGCAAGTACGAGGAAAACTGAACCTCATCAGTATTACTGGAGCTTTTATAACATTTAATAGCTTAGTTGATGCTAGCACATGGGCACTAACTTGCTCAAATAATAAAGAATATTCTTTGGTCTAGAAAAATGTGGAGCAGCTACTTTTCTCCTGTAAATGTCTTGTTGGAGAATTCAGATACACACTAGGAGCTGTATAACTTAGCATTATGGATGGGGAGAGAGATATCACAGCTTCTTAAGGTGTTCTTTAACAACATAAATCATCGAAGGACTGATTAGGTACGGGCTGTCTTCAGTCTTCACATGCATATGTTAGGCGTATGAGTTGAAATTGCAAACGTAAAGAAATTACGTCGTGCATCAAATTCAGTAATTCTGCAACAGTGTACCGAGGATTTCCCCAATTTTACATATGTCTTGTAAGTTATACACAGCCCTTTTAAAATCCGAAACCCTCGGAGTTTGTAAAGGTGTAGATATACCTGAACAGATGTTGGCGTTTCGATGAGTGTTCAGTGAAATATGCCCCTCGTTCACTACATATCACTAGAGAATACATAACGACCCACTCTATTTTGCCACAGATCCTAGATTTTCATCACTGCTGAGTGTAAATATTATTTGTTGTGATCGCTAATTGAAATAAATTAACACGAATGTGCTGGATTTCGGTCACACCTTGAAAATCTGTGAGAGACTTTTCTCTTATCAGAATACAAATCTGTCACGTTACTTCTCTTAGAAATAACAACTATTTGCTACTCATTATATTACCACGCGTAACCAACTTAGCTAGAACAGTTGACGAATCTGACTTGATCGCAGAGAGTTTTATGCCTGTTAATGGATTTTATTCTTTTAAATATTGATTACAGCTTGATGCCACTCCGTATTTTCAGTACAAGTATGGAATTTTTAGCATGGATAACGGTAGCCCAAATTTTGCAGGCCGACCATAGATATTGGGTGTGCATCGGCAGGAGATCAAACCCCGGACCATGTGCATGGTCGACGAGAGTCCTAATCACTGTGCCACCGACGCACAATATAAGCATTCGTTCGTAAGCATGAGTAGATATTTATTTCAGAGCGACATCGAAGTGGTTTACACAGCCTAAAAATGTATCATAAGATCTGCAGATGCTTTTGAACTATACTATGAAACTCCTACTGATTGTGATGACCTAACCAGTGTCTATTTTCTCATTGGAATACAATTTGCACAAGGTAACCTTTAGCCTTCTCCTTTTTCAATCAAATAGAAGTATTTATATTTATTTATTTATCCCTTGGTCTGCAGATTTATAAAGAGGTAGAAAACATCAATTTCAGAACTAAGATTACAAACAGGGTTCGTATTCATCAAAGTTGTTTAAGTGAGTTGCAAACTGCTAAAAGTTGTTAAGCGCGAAGGACGTTAACGATTATTCTACTTGGCGTTCATAGAAACGCGTGTTTTACTTAGCTAGTCATGTTTCTGTCGCATAATATTAAAAATTTTGTAACAACTGGATTTACTTCAACTCCGATGAATGATGCTAGCGGAGATGATAAATTTTGATTGTGATAATTTTAAGGTGGATGATGCAGATGTCGATCATGAAGATAAGATACTGAAGCGAGAGGTAAATTGGCATTACATATCACTTTTCATTTCGACAGTTAAATCAATTAATATCTGAACAGCTGGGTGATTTTGACCTCAGTGAAGAAGAGGACCAACCTGACGAAATTTGCATCGTTCAAACAAAGCCCGGTTGTAGTCCACCTGAGACTGTCGCTGGTAGTTCAGATGATTTGATAAGCATTATTGAGGCTGGAAAGTTGTCTTTACTGGAGAGTGCTATTCAAAAGTTTGGTGAGGTAAGTGTGCACTGCAGCTAATATCAGCTGCAGCTGTATGTACAATTTGACTTCTGTACCTTGGACTATACGCTTATTTCAGTATCACCTACCTTTTTGAAGTAGGAGTGCAAAGTTTTGTCGAAAAGTACTTTTCAGTCTTCTTTTGTCGAGTCAAATTTAGGGTAGGGCGATTCTGCAGCACCTTTTTACGTTTCGTTGTAGGTGAAGGTATGCCAAACATAATCGAAATTATAAAAAATCTCTGAATGTCACTTGCATTTCATCAGTTAACCGTTTAGCAAGCCACTTTCTGTAAGAAGTTAGGAAGAATTACTTCAGATGATATTGTCTCACCTTTTTTTTCCGAATGCCTTTCAAAGTGACTAACTCTTTCGTATTAGAACTAATTTCACGAAGTATACATTGTGGAAAATGGAAAAGGTAGAAAGAATTAACGTCTCAGGAAAGCATCATGGTTCTCCATCATTTTGGGTGACAATTCCACATTGAGTCTTACAAAGTTGCATTATTTCCAATGGGAAGTCTTAGACAGGTCAAACAACGCTTCATTTGCCCTTCTTTTCATGGAGAAAAGTGTGATAAGTGTTAGATGGTTTCAATAAGCTAAATATCATGGCTTTGGCTACCACATGAAACAAACTTATTTTTTGTTCTTCATTCATGTAAAATTCCCGGTAAATTCTTATGATCACGTACCTAGAAACTAACGCTGACACCCATATATTAGCTTGTATTTTATTATGGTCGTTACTTCTTTTCCGGTATCCTGTGCATTTCTATGGTCAGATTGTGATGTCCTCTTTCTTCTCATTGTTTGAGATTTAAGTTAGGTGTCTTGGCTTCATTGGGGTTTAGGGGCTTGTGATCCACACTTCATCTACCCTGCCGCTCCATAGTGGGCTTCTTTAGTGTGTCAGTTCGGCAGAGTGACTCAAATTATTGTTTCAGTTGTCTATCAGAGCATACACTTTCCGGGTAATATTTTTATTTTCGTAGTAATCCTGGTTCTGCCATTTACGTCATTAAAAGATACCGAAAAGTGATTCTCAATATTTTTTATCATAAATAATTATTGTGTATGTTTAGTGTGTTCCATTTTCGTTACTTCACCTCTAAATAGTTGCATTTAGGAGAAACAACTTGGAGGAGAATTTCAGTCTTTTATCACTCAGACAGATAATTAGAATTTTTCTAGACTTTCTATTCTTAAGTTACAAGTTAGGATAGTGCATATCTATGAGTGAGTATTTTGCTGCTGATACACCAGCGTAAATGCTTTCTCAGTAACTCAAGTGAAATCTGGTGAAAAACTGATTATAGGGAATTTTCGGACACCTATAAACAATCCTGGCCCAAGATGGAATAGCTACATTACTAAGGTGCAATCAGTTTCCACACTTTTCAGTACATCTGTGAGTGAAGTATAGTCATGTTTTAGATGTATATTTTGTGACTAAACCAATTATATTTTTGTCTTACTAGTGCTCAGAAAATGCGACCACTGAGTCAAATGAACTCACAAGCCTGGGTTATGATGGTCAACAGTCAAATAGTAACCATAACGCCTTGGGATTGTCAGGTCGCTGCAGTCAAGATACTCAAGTTGTTCGGCAGTTTGGAAATTCCGCAAACGAGTCTGAAAAATCTACTAACTGTAACAATATTCATCAGGTTTCAAATTCCCATCTATGCGATAATGTACAAAATCCTCAACTTCCCATTTTCCCCAGTGTTGTTTCACAGGATAAAACTATACCAAAGTAAGATGACCTGCCATCAAGTTGGATGTATTTGTCTGGTGACCAAAATATTATGTTAATAAGATAATTTTTATGATTATCTTTTGCTCCGTAGGGTTCCCATTGCTGCTCCGATTATAAATTGGGACTTGAGTCTTCCTGGTGAGGTTTCAGATACGTTGTTCAGCACTGCAGTGGATAATAAAAATCAGTACACCACACACGGTAACGTTTTTTAAAGTTGTAAATAGTTATATTTAATAAATTTACTTAGTGCTTCTTAAGTTTATTTTTAGATATGAAGTATAAAACAGTATGATTTCATGCACTTATCAAATCCAACAATCTGGTTTGTTATATTTGCCAATTTACCTCCTTGACAATGTAGAAATTGTCTCATGCTAAACAAGTGTGATTAAGTTATTGCATATGAGCTGAGACTTTAAAAATTCTGATTTAATCTTAATTTGATTATAAATAAATACATAGAAAAGAGCCAGCGAAACAATGTCGTTTTCATATACTGGGGATAGTATTAGTGAACATAACAGACCCTACACCCAGAACTTTTCAGATTGTTAAATGTGAAGTTGGTTTGGACATATGAATAAAGATATTCATTGAACTTGATCTTCTGCTAGTAGTTTCAATACTTTTCTGCCTTCTGACTTTTTTTTTACCTGTTTGAAATGTAGCAACATGAATTGTACAGACTTCTGCATTGATTTTTCAGTCTGCTCTTGAAGTTACATTGTGACGTGCTAATACGAGACCGTGTAGATAATTACTCCGGAATGTTAAGACATCTATTTGTATTTGTCTGTGCCTATACTTTTCGTTATGTGTAGCGTGGTAATTATTGATGCTTTTCTATCTGATCTTTGTCAAACCTTCAGGTTAATTATGCAGCAGTGTTTGCAGTCGACCAAGATATGAGTCCACACTTTTGTAGGAGACAATCTTTTGTAACCCATCCGAATTCGAGTTAACGTAGTTTATTTACTAAATGGGTTCACTTGCTATTCTACAGTAACTGTGACTAGCAGCTAATTATAACTTTTGATACAATAAAGAATAAGCTTCATCACTTGGTTTAAAAAAAACTGAAACACTCACGTGGTGTTCCAAATAGATGACCCGATACCAAACAATTTTCATTAGGATTTATTTTAATATGCTTTTTCCTTTGTCCCACTATCTATAGGTAATGATTGATATAATAGCATACTTAAATACATGTGTATTGTTGGTCTAGCAATGAACTTTTCAAATGTAACATTCATTTTAATTCATTGTTTTTGGTTTAAGTAGATTATGTTGAATACCGTTTTTAGCTACATAGCTTTCGACTTTTCTTTTAACTCAACAGATCATGGTCAAGTGATTTCCGGCCCGACAAATTCCATTCAAACTCCTCCATCACCATGGTCATTGCTGCCTTCTTCAGTACCTCAGTCCTTACCACCACCGAATTTTACAGAAAACGTTGCCTGGTCAACAACTTCAATAGTTCCTACTCCGTCTCATGCAGCCTATAATGAAGTGACACAGGCTGGTATTCCTGTAGAAACAAAAGCACATTTAGGTAACGAGTACAGTCTATTTTATAGTATTAGATACTGATTGGAATTCATGTTCGGTTTTTAGTCACGCTCATCATTTTTAATAGTTAATTGTTGTCAAACATGATCAGTTACCAATGTGCAGAGCAATGGTTAATATCTGTTTACAGCGTTAGACAGCGCTACTTTTTCCATAAACCGCCTATTTTATTCATAGGCATACTGAAATGCAAATAGTCTTCAAACGTATGATGTATTTATGTATATAGATTGGCATCTTCAACTTTAAAGGTGAGAAATAGGGATTTCTGAAAATTTGTTGAGAATGGTTGATAGGGATGACTTAAATCAAATTTATAATTTGAAATCTACACAGTTCCAGTGGTGAAATTTCCCCGTAGTTTCCTTAAGGAATCAGATTATTCAGATCACAAGGTGTGATCTGCTTGATGTAATAAATGGTAATCAAGAAAGCACGCATATTTGCATAAAACTGTATACCACTCATCTCAGTCACTCAGTAGTGTATAGGAATGACTTAGTATAAAATGTGTTGGGAAGAGGTCCCCTGTGAAGTTCACTAGGCGTAATAATTTAGTGGGATCAAGTGCATAGGTAAGAAGCATTGGAGTTAGATTCGTTGGTACCACTTACAGTCACAAACTATTATTCAATATGATAGGAAAAAGGGATGTTCCTTAATATGTACTATGTTGGAGTGAAGGAAATGATTGATGATGACCGAGAATTTGTTTACTGAATCATATGAAAATACATACAGATGGAATGATTCGATACCTCTCTAGGATAACTAGAAATTTCTGCCGCAATTATGACAAACGGTGGAGAAGAACTAAAAGTATAGAACCATGTTTAAAGGGTTATCTATTAAGTATCAACTTTTCATTAGTTTGCAATCATACAATCAAAATGCCCAAGTCGTAAATATTGTGGGGGAATATACCTTTAACCCGTTGGTATTTATTTATTTATTGTTACTTGCTTTGTTCCTTCACGTTCCCAATAGGATATAGGACTTCAAGCTTTAAACTATAGAAGTTTCAGTAGTTGTGGTGTTATCTTTTTACCGGGTGGTGTTGCTAACCTCACTTCCAATCTTCCCTCTTTTCCGGTCTTACTGCCAGCTAAGCGGGGTTTAGGAGTGCGTCAGCTGGAGTTCAAACCCCGAATCACGTGCATAGTTGGCGAACATTTTACCTCTAAACCTCTTGTTGGTATTTAGGAGTATGTGATTAGATTGTTACCTACCACATGTATGTACAAGGGTAAAAATGAACAGTAGTCAGCATAAATATATAGATATTAAAAGATATTGTTATGATAAATTTTTGTTTGGAGTATAACTTATCTACTAGAGACTGGCTATCGTTTATGTATTCGGTTTTCGGAACATTGTGCCCCATATCCGGTTAATACACTTGAACCGTGAACTTTTGGCTGTTGTTCATTCTGACTTACTTACTTAGCTTCAAGGTACTAGTTGTATTAGTTTTTTATTGTAAGCTACGCGTTAATATACTTAGCCCTCGCTGGTAACCTAATATATACCGAGTTACTTAATTGTATCAAGTTTCGAGATTATACTTTATTGAAGGTTTTCCACAGTATATCTAAATTTCACTGGTTTAAACATCCCACTTATTAATGGTTTTGTAATCATAAGGGTGTCTTCATTAATCGATTCACATTCCTTAGCCACAAATAGGTCAGTACATGAAGCTTATCATTATAACTTGCCTCACAGCAGTACAGGAAAAGGCTGTGTGAAGAGAGACTTAAACAAAGAGATGGCATAAAAGACATTTCAGTATGTGAAAATTGTGTTTAGGAGAAAAGTGTTAAGTCCTTAACTACTACATGTTTACTTGTTTTGTTTTTGCTTTAGTTGTCCACACCGCAACATCGGAGCTGACTTCTTCCAATATTCCATGTGTAACTAGTAGTGCTGATATGAATTTAGACAGTCATCTTTTACCTAGTGGTAATCGGGATCGTCGTGAGTTACTTTACAGTGCTCGAGGACATCAGCTACAAGAGTTGCAAGCAGAAGTTGTTCAATTGAAAGAAGAAATCGCTAAAGAAAAACGTCTATCTAATCATCGTATTTTATTAGCTGAAGGTTAGTTTCTATCTGTACAATGTTGTGCTAATTCGGTCTCTTTCTGTATATGTGATATTTGTCCACTGTCTGGGACTGAATTTTTACCAGGGAATAGTCTTGTCTACTTAGAATATGCAAAAAATATATTCCTCCTAAGTGAAGATGCTGAAAAAATACTGATTTTTCTAAACACCTTGGGCAACAACATTCGCGTGTTTGGGATGGGTTCACTCCTGTCATATGTAAGATGATACTACAGGACTGGACTACATTGACTCCTAGGTTAGAAATAGGGAGCGAAGTGGTAGAGTGTGTTGATCACTTCACTTATTTAGGAAATTGCATCAACCCCAACGGGTTGATCGCTGATGAAATCTCAGCACGGATACTGAGGACTAGTTCCGCATATACCAGTTTACGCTGTCTCTGGTGTAGACGTGATATCCGGCTGGTTGTCAACCAAAGGGCTTGCGTACTGCTCAGCAGTCAGCTCCGTCCTCCTTTATGGCTGTGAGACCTAGCCATTGAGAGTGGAAGATATGAAAAGGCCTGTTGTCTTTGATCATGGGTGTCTGCGTTCTATCTTCCGTGATAGTTAATATAATAGGGTGAGTAATTTTTGGGGTTAGACGTCGTGTTACCTAGGGAGGGAATCAAATGACGAGGTTGGGAATTTACACCGATGGAGGTGGTTAAGTCATGTGTTACGCATGTCTAGCCATCGCCTTTCACGACGGGAAATGTTAGCTGATATAGGAGTAGGTTGGTGGTAAGCAGGTCTTTATTGCTGGCTCTTACTGTGGTGGTTTGGTAAACACCAGATTTCATTGCTTCGAAACCTACACACATAGACCTAGGCAATCAGTAACTCTGTAATGGTACACTCTTCTCTAAAAGTAAATACTTTTATAACACTCCTACTGATAACATGCTACAGAAACTATACTATATGGCTCTAGAAACTAGGCGATAAATCTCTGGATGAGTGCGATTGATAGAAAATAACGATAACATCCAGAGAAAACAATACGGTTTGTAAAAATTGAATGAGAGGAGTGTTATCGTTAGAATTAACGACGACTGATAATTCATATACATGGACACCGAATATAAGTTACCGACAAAACAGGATATAAGAAGAATAACTGGGGAGTGTTGGACCTTCTAGCCTACAAAAGTGAGCGCTTTCCAACACCTTGGCTGCAATAAAACTAGTTTAAGAGCTGACAAAGTGGCATTTGGACCTAATTAAATAACATCCTTCATTGATCTTACCAGCAATCCAGTCAGTCACTGACTTACTGACCGGCTTCAACATAGAACTCTGCACAGAAGTGCAGGATTTCAAGTTAACACGATCCGTATAGCAAAGAAAACGTGGAGAAAAGAGACAAAACAGAACTCAAAAGAAACTGTAGTAAGCATTAATGAGGGGGAAAAATAATAACATGGAAAAGCATGACTATTGATTCGATATCAGAGATCACACAATGTTGATGCATCTGAGATATTAAAAAGGTTTTTGTACTATATCACCAATTGTTCCCAGCCTTCATGAGTTTTTAACATCCAGACGGCCTCAACCAGAAAGTCTACACCTCCTACGTGGCTGAAACTACCTGTTAAGGGTTTCATAGACTGATGTCATGTTTTCGTTTGACCACCAACAGAAGTGAAAAGTAATTCAGCGAAGAGACTGTTTTCAAAGAATTTATTATTAAAGCTGTACAATCGTATTTATATGGTTTTTAAGAAATTGTATCCAGTGAGGAAATTGAAACAAAGGTGTTGATACATAAATTAATAACTGCATGAAATTCAATCAGAAAGTTTGCGATAATAATTATAGTTAAATGTCAAGTGGCAAAACAAATGATGTCATATATAGAGTAGTTCATAGGATGTATAGATGTTGGAAGGTGGTGAAAATTATAGGGTTAGGAGGCAAATGAAGACGTTAAATAACATCGTGTAAAATTAGATAACGTAGAATTTAACATAATAATACCGGAAATAGTTCAGGGTGAGAATGATGATGGTAACAATCGACATAATAAAGGAATAAACTGAATAAACAAAACGACAAATAAGTGGGGTCAAAATGTGAGTAGGGACTGTCATACTTTAGCATAGACGGATTAAGACCATGAGATTTGAAGGGGTTGAACAAACTTGTTCTGTATACAGAAATCTAGCTTTTCTATTCCGATAGCCAAAGCTTCAGCAGAATAGGTTAGTCGGATACGTAATCGTTTATGCAAGTTATTTTTCGCTTTGTAAATGACTTTAAAGGAAGAGGTTGTAGAGGTATAGTGATCAATACCGACTAGTTACTGTGCTTCTTATAGCCGCACTTCCACCTCTTCGCAACTGCGCGGGACAGTGTTCTTGCACTCGGTTGAACAGAACCCGAGTCGAAGGACCGATATAACTAGCCCCATGCAGGCAGTTGAATTGTTAAACACACAGAGTTGGCCAAATGCGGGATCTTGTCCTTCAGGTTATTTGACGGTAATGGTCGACTAGAAAGCGCTGTTCTCAACAATGTTACAGGGAATGTGCTTTTCAGGGACTGTTTGATCCTTCTTTTATGGATGTCGGCAACTAAGTCACCCTTGAATTCATGGTTCACAAATTTTTTCGTAATTTGTGTTCCTTTGTTTTTCGCTTTTGTCAGAGAAAAGAATTCAGAGATTCGCTTTTGAGCTAGAAGTGTTGATTAGAAAAAGAGTTGACTATTTTATCAAGCATTCAGTCTTCGGGTTCGTTTGGCGGTGCGTCTAGGTTGTAAACTCCATCTTCCTCTTATTCAATTTTTTACTGGAAGTGATCGAGTAATCATAGGAAAACATTTGATTTATGTCCCATGTATAGTATCAGCTTGTAACTTTTGATTACTTTTGAACTGCCAGCTTATGATAGCTATGTAGAATTAGTTGGTTTGAAGAACCTTGACAAATAGGATTTGGTAAAAGTAGTGACCGTAGGAATTTATCACCTCAGGGTGTAATCTTTATGTCCTTAATAATATGACTTCATTTTCATTTCTGCACTACTTCAGTGTTCATGTGTTTGGTTTAGGCGGTGTATTGATTAATAAGTGCTAATTTCTTTCATATGTTGTCTGCTGGTTAAAATCTCAGTTGGCAGAGATAGACTGCGACACTGACAGTTTTCCAGTGTTGTTGTAGGTGTCTTTCTGAACTGAATATGTCGACCTAGACGTGAATTGGGAACAAATTTAGAGCTACTCAAGAGCGATAGTTGCTTCTCCTCACTTTAAAACTATTAACTTCTTCAGTTAGAGACATAAAAACATTGTGAATAATTTACCATTATCGTACGACTATGTAGTCATAGTAATTGTGCTTTTTCTTTGCACTTCAATATTTTAGGGGAGAAGGAGATACTACGTTCTAAGCTTTCCACTTTAGAAGACACTGTGAAGTCATTACGTATGGAGCTTGTTACAAAAAAGGAAAATGCAGAAGTTTTGCAGAATCAGTTACAAGAAAATGCGGAGTGTCAGAAAAAGGTTAGTGGATTCTTCTAGGTATTTTATTGTAGTCGTATATATGTTAGTATTTCTGAATAGGCTCGTTTGTGCAATTCTAAGCTACTAAGATTGTGAATTGATTGAATCACCAGATAGTTTTGATTCCCTGCAAGCTTACGTTTACTTTTGAGACAGGCTACTGTTAAAATGTTATCAGTAGTAGTCATCGTTTTATAGATTATTCTTCTCTTCATTGCATTTAATGCTATTTGGTGTTGGTAAATAGAGACATCAACTTGATACGATATTAGTGCTTGCTACTAATCTTTTGATTTAAAAATATACATGCGTAGAACTGACTCAACCGTCATGTCAATAGTTCGAATAACTGGTATAGTTAATAAAGTTTAAGTAGGGGTTTGAAATATTATACAGTTGTCAACATAGTGGTTAGTAAAAGTGATATGATAAAAATAAATGTTCGTTGGGCATGGTCAAAAATTGAGCAAAGAAGACTAACAACTTTCAACGGTTTGAAAATTTTGGGCATTGGGTATATGATATTCATTATAATAAAGGTTTTTGTATTTCCCAATGAATGAAAAACAAAACGATATTGTTTTTACTGACGTTTCGCTATTTAATGCTAATAGCTTTATCAAAGTATTGTTAAACCGCAATTTACAAAATCTCAGCATATATATAACAAAGAGTTAAGGGGTGAGAAAATAGACATAGGTCAAGTTAAAGGGACATATTGAAAGTAAAAATAGCAATGAAGATATCTAAACCAAATAACAAAGGTAATAGTAGGTCTGTTATGATAATAATAATACTTTGATAAAGCTATTAGCATTAAATAGCAAAATGTCAGTAAAAACAATATCGTTTTGTTTTTCATTCATTGGGAAATACAAAAACCTTTATTATAATGAAGACCAACAACTGGTAAATTGAATGAATGCTTGTAGATAATCTGCTGTTACAGACCCTAGTAAATTTACGACCTTTTCTCTGTGGTTGTATTCTCTGAGCTGTGATTTAATTACGTAACTGTTATTGTCCTTCCCAACAACATCATCACCAATTACTTCAATGTGAAATTAATTTTTTCTTGAATTGTCCATCAATGATGTAACTACCCTTCCTGATTACCTTAACTATGATTAGTTGTCTTTGGAGGTCTTATTATCCTTGTGTTGGTTTGCATTAGTATCTGTCGTTTCGTTGAACTGGAGCTTAATCTTTTTGCCATTTCTGCCCTGTGACTTTTCTATCGGTTGGTGAATTTGATCAATGTCACTATGTCTGTTGATTTGGGTGCCAAGCTTCTAGAAATTCTCTGGCAGTCTTACTATTTCTGCTGTTTAAAATTTTCACATTTTCCCAGTGTCCATACCTGTGTACATGCATTGGTATAAAGGAATGCTTATTCTGTCTTCTGACAGCTATTTTAGGTTCTTGGGTTCGGAGCCGGAGAGGACACTCACTTTAACCAATATTGTGCTTTTGACAATTGATGCAATTTATTTTGTAGACGGTGATGATCTTGTCTTCCTTTACTGTCGGTTGTCTTGGTCCTGAGAGGAGTCGCGGTGATTGTGTCGGTTCGTGTGCTGCATGTAGTCGTATTGATTGCAGTATTTTGGCCATTACTTCGGAAGTATTCTTCGTATATAGCAAGACAGTGGTTCATTGGTAAAATACACGCCGGTCACTCAAGTGGTCTGGTTTCAGTTCCAGAGACTTCACCTAGCTAGCTAGTAAGTAGGGGAAATAGGAAAGGTTGAGCGTAGAATTGAGCTGGTAACTGTCTTGCATTTGGTGAACTCAAGCTACGTTGTTCCATCAGAGTCGTCTTTCAAAATTATCTGCAAGGTGAAGCCAAGCGGTACAAAGGGTGTCAGGTTTCAGCATTTTTTTGTATGGTGGAGACGTTGGCGATTAGTTAATGCAACCCTGAACTCTGTATATACAAAAAGTTTGTTCAGTCTCTTATTCAACCATGGTCTTAACCACTTCACTAGCTGTTCCCTGTAAATTTTCAATTTTACTTTTAGTTTGCTTTTACTTTAATAATTAATTCACTTTTATCACTCTCATATGTTCCTTTTGTACATTTTCTCACACTCAATCGACACTCAACTACCTTTCTTCTTACTCAATAACAGCTTTAACCTGATCAAATTTTTAACGCTTTCCTCCTTTGTGCCGTTGAGTGTTACCTGATTTACAACTTTTTTTTTTTACTTCTGAAGCCACTTCTGAGTAATTATATCAGTTATGTCACCCCCTCCCCTATTACTCAGTAATAGACTACTATACATTTTCGGTAAATATAAATACGACTGTGCAGCCTGTGAAGATGATTTCGTCGATAAAGAAAATTTTCTTCGCTGAATTATCTTTTATTTTCTTCATGACTCAATGGATATTTTCGGTGATGTTAATTTGACCTTTTATCGACTTTATTTATTGGTTACCTTATTTCTATTATAAATTCCATTTGATGATGGGATTAATCATAAATCTACCGTTTTATCAGTAAGCAATAACTAAATTCGAGGTAGATTTCGGTGTGTGTGTGTGTGTGTGTTTGTTCGTGAGTGTCCAGTTCACTGTTTCTAATTAGAATAAAACGGTTTCACGTTCCTCCCTAATATTACATGATTCTTCCAGCTGTCATCATTTTGTGACTGAACTAACCTCGAGGTGAATTTTATGTTTTTAAAATAAGTGTTGTAAATTCACCGAGAATTTCACTTTCACCTTGAACATTTGGCTTGACTAGAGAAGTATATTAACGTATGGGGAATATTTTTTCTATTCCTTTACGTTCCCAGCGGAACATAGGGCTTCAAGCTAAAGCCTTGAAGTTTCGGTAGCAGTGGTATTTATCTATATGGGATGAGGTTGCTAGCCTCATACCCAACCTTCCCTCTTTATCAGTCTTATTATTGGCTTGGCGAGGTAAAGGATTGTGTCGGCCGAGGATCTAACCCCGGACTACATGCGTGGTTGGCGAGCTTTCTACCGCTGTGCCACCGACGCACGTGAGAAATATATGTGATATAAATTCATGTCTGGTAGTCTGCGTAGCCCCACTGGGCTACGTGAATTTCCACTCAACATAATGCATAAAATTTTCTCTATTTCTCGTTGTTCTAACCGTTCAATTATGTCCGTAGGTCGCTAAATATACTCAAACTCATTTTTAATTAACTTTCAACCTATTGCTACACATTTATGGGATCAAACAGCACTGAATCAAATGATGTACTTTAGATTGTTATTTCACTTAAGGATTCTGGCCGAAGATAAAGCATAGTGTAGTAAGCGACGCTAAAATTTCTGTATATTTTGTAAACTTTTTGTGCAGGGTAAAGCTATTATTATTATTAGTTATTAAATTAAAAAACCAAGTCAGGAAAGAAGATTCTTTTCGTAATTTCACTTGAAAGCTGTAAAGTTATATAGTGTTCTAGAAGGTCAGGGAAATGCATATAACAGTCAATTGTTCGTAACAGTTGGTAATAAAACCTATGAAATTACGCCATCTAAAAACATTAAATGATGAGTGTCGCTCAGAAGTGATTACCATTCAGTACTACTAATATTAATAATAACAATAATAGTAAAGTTTTACTTCAAACAATATGTGAACATATATTACAGAAATTTTCAGTGTATTTAGTTCCAAAATATTTCCTATTCATACAGAATTTACATGTAAAACAATAATCTGTAGTACATCACTTGTTCTAGTGTTGGTGTATATGAGAGGAGAACCGATTCTGTACATTTTTCCTTCACTTCCTTCGGTAATTGCCTAGGGTATAGTGGGAAACTAATTAAATACACACACGAGCTCATGTACTAGTCATCTGATATAATTGCACAATTAAAACAGTAGGAAGTGCAGAAGAGTTTAAGCACTTTGATGGATATAAATTTTGGTAACCTAGTGATTTAAGCAAGCCGCTGAACTACATGCGCCTGGAAACACAAATGGTACGAGATTCAAAATATTTATTAATATATATTAAAGTTAAGAGACTGGAAAGAAACAATAAGGGGAAGAAAACCAAATGAATACTGGTTACGTAACAAATTATTGTACGAATTCAAAAAGAAGCGATTTATCCAGTCCATCTTATCACCGTGACCTTAGACTTTTCAGTTTTTTAAAACTCTTACGACAATTTCTTACGCAGATGTAAGTCATAAATATTCTGAATCTCTTACCGCTTTGAACAATATTCCTGTTTCCAGGCGTTTGTAGTTCTTATGGTAATCATTTTTGAGCGATACCCATTACTTAATGTCTTTAAATTGTGTGATTTGTTATTTCTCTCCATATGTAATTTCATATACTTTGTTACCAGTCATGATGAACAATTGAGCTTTATAGGGATTTCCCTAACCTTTTCAAACACCATATAGCTGTACAGCTTTGAAGCAGAGTTACAACAAGTATATAAAACTACGTTTCTCTGGAAGAAGGCATTCTATTATGTTTCTTTGTTTCTTCTTCTTTTTACTTTATCTAGCTGAATGAAGAACTTTTAGCTTTACGTACAACTAATGAGTCGTTATCATGTCAGTTAGTTGAATTGACTACAGGGAATGCTTTAAAACGAGCCGAAGAAAGAGAAGCACAACTGGCAGAATCATTAGAACAACGTTTTCTGTCAAGAACTGAAGAGATTAAGACAGAGTTAAAAGCAACTCAAAGAAATTTAAATGAAAAGGTTTGTTTGAGAAGTGATTGTTAAGTGTATTTCTTTGACTGTTGTACACTGAGTTGGTAAAGAAAGATGTATTCACTCTTTTTTGCGCTCTATAGCAGTCCTCATTATTCTACGTGTGTGCAACAAATTCAGTTTAGTTCATTGGTAAAGATTAACAACTTGGCATTTTGTTATTTTGGTGGATGGTGACTAACAGTGGAATCGAAGATGCGCACTTCATCCTATTTGGAACTCCTCCGCTGGACGTACCTACAATTCCAAGTGTATGGTGGTATTCCCACTGAAGCTTGAACCCAGAACTCATCGTTTCAAACGCCAAAGCATTATTCACTAGGCTTCTCGGATTGTGAGATGCATGCTTTGTGCAACAGATACCGGTTATTACTTGTTTAGGTGGCCTAGTGGATAATGCTGGGGTGTTTATAACGATGGGTTCTGGATTCGAGTCTCGACGGGAACACCTTCATACATTGGGGATTGTAGGTACGTCTGTAGGACGAGTCCCAAATAGGACGAAATTTGCATCCTGGATTTCACTGCCAGTCACCTTCCAGCAAAAAGCATTATGTTAACCCTGAGGCATCATCCAAGCGTTCGTACTAGAAGCTGACGTGTTGACAGAGATGGAGTATTTCTGTTCAGCGTAATCAATTAACGCAAAATACAAAATTAACTTAAATAAACCCAGCAGTTTCCCCGTTATTCACCTAGTGTTTTCGTTTTCATTTCAGTCTAATTTTTGTAAACAAGAATAACCCTGTAAGCAGGTACAATTTTACTTATTAAAACGTTTTTGTACAAGATTCTTTGCAACAGCTTGTTCCCGTTATGGTGGATCTATGTCTACATTCGATTGTGGTTGCATAATATTGGCATCGTTGGTGAGCATTTATTAAGCAGTTATGGCAACTGCTACCAGCGAATTGTGACAGTCGTAATCGATACAATATACAGAATGGTTTCTAAAAATGTCGACACTGAACTGGTGATCTTATTAATATTATATTTTATTTGTGTCAAGTCACTGCCCTCCTTTTTGAGCAACAAAAGGTTAAACGTTAATTGGTGGATAGTGACTAGCAATGGAATCCAGGATGCGCACTTCGTCCTATTCGAGACTCGTCATCTGGATGTGCCTGTATTCCTCAGTGATTGATGATGTTCCCACCGAGGCTGGAGCCCAGTGCCCATATTTTCAAACGCCAAAGCCTTATCCACTAGACCACTTGGGCCACGAGAGCCACCTCTTGTGCAACGGGTCATATTAATTATTTAATTGAATTTTATATTTTCCCGTCGACTGATTGAACCGAATTGATCGGTCTTAGGTTGATATGTTGGCTTCTTGTGCAGATGCTTCGACGATGTCTGGGCATGTAATCAGAAGTTAATTGGTGGATGGTGACTAGCAGTGGAATCCAGGGTGCGCATTTCGTTCTATTTGGAACTAGTCATCACTCACTGGGAATTGCAGGTACATGCAGATGACGAGTTCTAAATAGGACGAAATGCGCATCTTGGATTCCACTGCTAATCAACATCCACCAATTAACTTCTGAGTACATGCCCACACATGGTTGAAGCATCTGCATAAGAAGCCGACATGTCAACTTGAGACCGAGCACTTCGGTCCAATCAATCGACGGGAAAACCTATAATTGAATTAAACAAAGGGTTAAGTTGGTGACGGGTTGTGAATGGGTACAGAATAATATATGACACCTATATATGAGGTCTTCGACTTTTGACCGTAGCCAAGTAGGCTAGTACCAGTTCAGTTCAGTAATATTCAGTCATGATGCAATGAAATACATTATTTTACTATACTTTAGAAAGTGTTTCTCATAATTAATATCCCTCGAGTCTTTGATTATCTCTGTCAGAATGTTTAACTGTTCAAAACAGAACATGCTTTTTATTTTGTGTAGGAAAATGAAGTTAGCGATTTACGCCGGCAATTAGAAATTTGTAAAGCTGAAACAATTAAAGCACAACAAACACACAGTGAAATGATAAAAGAAGCTAATAAACAGTTGGAAGAAGCTCAAAAGCATTGTCAACAACTTGCCTCATCTGGTATGTTATGTGTTGAATTTATTTCATTTCATGACATGTAATAACTAAAACCTTTGATTCATTCCAATAACCCCTATTTGAGATGTTCTGGGGTTGCCAGATCCTAATCCTAAGTAACTCAGTTCAGCTGCTATCATTTTCAGCTCTTGTATAAAAATCTACTGAGCACTTCGATATACCAAGTGGTGTATGTCTAATGTCACACAAACTCGAAGACTTACGGGCGAAAAGCAACAAATTGGCTGAATACGCTAGGCGAGCAGCAAAGACAGGACTCCAGGTGAAGATAGAGAAAACGAAGTAGATGAAGATAACCAACTAACAGCAACAACAACAACCAGCACCAATAACCACTAACGGAGAGATTTGACAGAGGTTACTTCCTTCACTTATCTGACCAAGAAGCACGGTTTCAACCACAGGCAGTCGGAACGGATGAAGATGTCAAAAGTAGCCAGTCAGAATCGGAAAGGCGACATACGCCTTCACTAACCTGAAACCAGTTTAGAAATCTTCTGCACTGCACTGCACTCAGCCAGTATAAACAACAAGATACGGATTTTGAACACAAATGTGAAGTCAGTCAGTTAGTTCTTCAATGCAAGTTGGAAACTTGCAATGTGTGTCACTAAAAGCATTTCCAACAGGCTACTATAGACTTTTATCAACAGCTGCCTTCGCCGCCTCCATGTTGAAAATGAAATGGCCAGCCAGAAAGAATTAGCAACAAGAAACTCTGGGTGGGAGCAAACCAATAAAGAGCCTATTGCTCGACAAATATGTAGGGGGAAATGAAGATGGATCGGGCATATGGTGAGTAGGCCGTCAAATGACATCACTCTCAATGCAGGCGATCGCTTGAATGGAATGCGAATGGGAAGCGACGAATGTGTCGTTGGTGTGAGAGTGACATGTGGGAGATGGTGTAATGAGGAGGAGATGAGAGATTATAGGCAATCGTGGGGCCAGCTGAAAAGGATAGCAGAAAATAAAACAAAGTGGACGTGTTTTGTTCCACTCGGAACCCACATTTTGAGTTATTGGAAGTTTTACTTGTATTCTAATAATTACTAGTCTTTTTTGCTAACTGTCAGTAACAAGAGCTTTGTTTCTCGTTTTTTGTTAGCCTTGTGCTCTGAAGTTACATCTTTAAGACAAAAGGTGATTGAGTTGGAGACGTCAAGAAAGATTACAGAAGATGTGAATAAAATTTTACAGGTACTGTTTTTTTGATATCTGTTTGTTAGTGTAGTTGCTTTCCTATTAATTCAGCTTGTTTCAGTCATTACTTTATGCTATGATTACTTAATATGGTCATTGTTGAACGTGATGAACAGTCTTACATAACTGATGGTTCAGTCATGCTTAAGTTATTATTATTATTATTACTCATACTATTAACTTCTGTTATAAGTTTAGTGATACTTTATAAGTTAATTATTCGAGTGTATCTATGGTACTGTATTCACTGATTGACAGATAATAATATTAATTAAGGATGCTCCATACCATCAACTGATATGAGTAGTTGGAAACCATTCACGTGCAGCAGTAGTGCCAGATAGCTAGATTAAATTCATCTAAACCCTGGACTGCCATTTTGCCTCTTTGGGACTGAGTTCATCACTTAATCAGTTCAAAACAAACTTGTTAGCAATCACTTCTGCTTGACATGAGTAGCTTCCAACTACTTATATCAACCAGTAGTCTATGTAGTTATGTTGTTTTACTTGCTTTCTTCATTGCCACGTCGTGGTGTCAAGCAGATCATATAGTGTGATCTGAATATTTTCGGTTTCCAAATCAAACTGTGGTCAATTCTTAGCTGAAGTTATATAATTTACAAATGATGAGATTGATTCTACAATATAAGTTGTTATCAAATTATTATTAATTACTAATATTTTTATTGGTAATAATAATGACAGTGCACTCAAGAACTGTGTTCAGCCTTCATATTCTAAGCCATGAGCTGCATTCAGTTTTTTATGGTGTCACTGGCGTTATTAGAAGGGGGAGTCTGTGTGAAAAGTGTAATGTGTTTGCATAATACATTTTAAACAGTCAGATCACACTTACTGCTGAAATTGGGCAATTTTTCATTATTTCATGAATCTGAGTATTGGTTGGCTGGTGAATAAACAGCATAACCGTAGCTGCGTTAAAGTCATCTTGAAGCCACTTCTTAGTGATACAATCTCACTGTTAATATCTTCTGTGAACTGCAGTCTTACGAATACTGATTTCTTCAGGACTGTAGACATCTTGGGCTTTTTTTGTACCTGCCAAATCTGTGTATTCACTCTAAAATTACTTAGGGTATTTGCTTTTATTTAGTAGACTACGAATATTACAGAATTCTTCGTTGATTGTTTCATTCGATGGAATAACTCTAGCACAGTGAACCAAATGAATGATCAGATTTCGTTGATACTGTAGATGGACGAAGCTCACAGAGTGGGTATATTGTCCAGTTGATGTAGATTTCTTATGTAAGCTTTTACATATTGTTCCATCTACAAAAACCAGATGGAGTTATTCGGTTCATCTTCTTTAGTGAACTTCACTGTTTAATTTCTTTATTATTTCGTTTATTTTAATTGACCTTTCACGTTTTTGCAATTTTTTCATAATTATTGAATTGACATGTAAGTGTGTCATCAAACTGTTCAAAATGTATTGCACAAATATATAACAGTTTTCAAATGAATTCCTTCTTCTCTGTAGTAATTCCTTCATGAGCGGTAAACTGTTGTCCCAGTTAAGCTGTGCGTTTTAACCTAGAGTATGCGATTAACGAACATCACTGATTACTATTGATAAATTGGGATTCAACATTGCGGCAGTTACCATAAGGAAATGTAATTTATAGCATAGGTCATATTTTTAATATCTGTACTTTTAGTTATGTCATTGTTACGTTATTTTAGAAAATTACGCTTGAATTTAGTCATGTAATAAGAATCTTCATTCCTTATTTTAATGGTATTTCTGAAGGATGAATTACGGGGTTTTCGGGATCAAGTTGCCATATATGAAAATGTTTTAAGGTTAGACGTATATTCGCATAATGCCGATAATGAAGATCCAATTATGTATGAACCAAGTGATCTTACACCTTATGCGAATAAAGGACGTCACAGTGGTAAATCTGTTGCTTTCGCCGATGTTGATACACATGGACCTAGTGAAGCTAATCCACTTCATCGACGACCATCTTCGGCTATAGAACGACCGATCTATCATCAAGCGTTGGATGAGAATTTCGATATTTCTACTCGTTGCCATTCAGACGAACAATCTACTAGAACACGTCAACACTCGTAAGATTTAACATTTTTAAAAGTTTTTATTCATGAAATTTAATTTCTGTATGATAATATGCAATTTTAACAAGTGTGAACGAAATCTGTGTATTTAGTATAGAAGCGTTAAAGTCCTATTTTTTATCTGTCTATGTTTATTGGCAACTAAATGCCATAGTTGACTAAGTAGTTGCTATTAAAATCTTTTGAAATCTGAAAGAAGACCGATGAATGCAGTATATTTTGATGCAGTTAATTACAGAATGAAATCAACTTAACTACTGTGGACGGTTTTATTTTAAAAGTAACTGTTATTTCGCTCAATTCTTGTCAAACGTCAAACCAACTCTCATTTTAATTTTGTCTGCATTGTTTGGTGAGGTAAGCTCTTGTATGTAATGTGTAGAAATAAACCATCAGTACAATTTTAATAAAAAGTAGTTAAAGTGTTCGGGAATGTTAGTTGATTTACGTGCTAGTGGAGATATGACGAATGCAATTTCAAATCATGTAGTGAAAGACACGCAGGTGTACGCCAACACTGCCCACCTTTGACGCTGTCACAAAGTTAGCCTGGTCATCAAAGATCGGGTTTACAAAGCTTGGGTTCGCACGGTCCTACGACTTTGTAACGTCGTCCCTTCCCCTCCAAAGCTTGAGGATGCACAGCGACTTTGTGTTCAATCACCAGTGTCTCCTTACAATTGTTTGCATCTGGTGTTATAATTTTGAGGTCCGACGTTGTATAAGTGGAAATTGTGGGGATTTCTTCCAACAAGTAATATCATCTTGAGATATCGGCTTTAGAGGCTCTGACATATGCCACGATTTTTGTCCTGACTGCCATCCTGTACACTATTTGCTCTCTCTAAAATTGGTAGGTACTTAGGTTATGACATCTTGCCATTTAACAGATGTAATGGGTTCGCATCTGCATGAGCATGATGACTGCCTGAGTGGAGTCCGGAAGATCATCTTATTCAGTGGTATGGAGTTAAAATCATTGGCGAACACGCCACAATTTCCAAGTTCCATCTAAGTGCAATACAGAGTAGTAAACACTCCTTTGAATTCTCCTAATAAATACTCCTACCTGTTCGTATAAAGCTGTTCCTCAATTATTTTATTTTACTTTCGTTTATATTGTTGTTTTATTCTTGTTTGGTGCATTTCTTGGTGCCCATATGATGCGAAGTTTGTGTTTGAAATAAAGTAAGGTAAATAATTTTTGTTTTTTAAGTCCTGGCATCATTCCATGCATCGCATTCCTCAAATCTAATAATACGCCATGTTGAATCTGATAAACTCATTCAGTGAAGGAAAATTAGTCAAGCAAAGAAACGAACTATGCCTACACTTTAATTCAAATAAATGTTTTTATGTAATGGACTATGATTGCAATAAGATGCATATGTTTACTTTTAGTGATAAGATTCATGAAGATATAATGATCATGATCAAAGACAGCTAGCCTTTTCAAGTGGGAGACATTGAGGTTAGGCGTCGAGGGTTAGGTGAGGGGAAAAGGTCAATCAATGAGCCTGTGTAGCTACATGGATTGCGATAGTTAGGCCATGTGTTACACATGCCTAGCTATCACCTTCCTCGACGGACAGTGTTAACTGACATGGAATAAGGTTCGAAAAGAGCCAGTGTCGGTTAAACGAAAAACATGGCTTCATCAGTCAATGAAATCCACAACAATTAGTTTAAGCCAGCTGGTCACGTAGGGAGGTGTAGACTGGCTTCCTGTGTGGTAGTCCTCGGGATGGTAAGAATCAGTGGCTGGAGACAATTGGTGATATGGCGAAAATTCGTTCTCATTGGCTCAGATGCATTCGCTTTCTGTGATTTATCATATGCAATAAAACTTGTTTTTCCATGTTACTATTCTTTTTCTCTCAAACATCTGTTTATTATCTCTGTTTTGAACCTTCCTTTACTCTCTTCTTCTGCTTCGTGCGCTACATGGTGTGGCAACCCGAAATGGTGGACATCTGTGGAAAGTTCTTTGTCGAAGTCAGTCATTGATTATACTTCACCTAATGGCAAGTCTATGACTTAAGTCTGTTGATTGTATCATTTGGGTGAAATGTGTGGCGTCTAATTGTGCGAAACAACTCTGGTTCATCTGCTCGAATAATTATCTAGTAGAAATAACTTTTTATTTGTTCTTTGGCTGAGTTTTTATAAAGTGCATCAATATTTACGCATATTTCAGTTGCACGTTTCGTAAAGATTGCAACAATGTATTCATACTTTATATTAGATATGTTTATTTGATATAACTCATATTCATGCAGTAATGATAGCCAAATGACCTTTCGAGCATAATTTATCGCTCATAAGTATATCAATGTATTTACACGTCTTCATAATTTGCTTTCACTCGTTTCACTCTCCCCCTTTTGCATTGCAATTGACCATAGATCCGATATTAAGCGTTGCGTTATTCGACTGCGTATGTTTGGTGTCTAGATAAAGAGAGAGAGCTGTAAATCACCGAATCTCTGGTCATCGAATCACCACCAAACGCATGTAACGCTTATCCTGGACGAATGGATAATAATAATAAAACTCAGTATAAATTAGGGGTATACAAACTAGATTCAAAATATTCAGACCATAGATATTACGGATTTCCAGTGTATAGCAAATAATGAAGGTGCAAATACATTGATATGATTACAGGCAATAATTTATGCTCAAAACGTCATCCAGTTATCTATACTACGTCACTGTGTTATGTGAATAAACTTACCTAATATGGAATTATATTCTGCTACAGGGCCCTAAATCTACACTGACATTAATGTATTCATATTATTAATGGAGATGTGTTCCACTGGCCCTATCACTTGATTTTTAGCATGAGGATCAAGGGATTGAATCCTACACCGCCTACTTCAACTCAGGAGCATAGGTACTATTATCATCCCTCACACAATATGTATTTCTTATACCTTGGTATGTGGAAAAATTTGTTCTGAGTAACTGATTTCTAACTAAGCAATTCTTATTAGTACGATTACATAATTTTAGCGTTGAATTGTTACTTTACTTTATAGAGGTGGTAAACAGGCGTTCAGTGATAATGAAGATATGCTTGGTAAATTGGGTGAATGTGACAAAGTTTCATTTCATTCATTAACTCGTCAGGGTATATTAACTAGCACTCCTGCAGTGAAATCGAAGTCATCACCGAAATCTCCGATGGGTAGGCTGCGTGCTGAACTTGAAAAATGCTTATTAAACTATAAGGCTAAACGAGAACAAATAACTAAACTCCATGAAGCTTTATATACAACACGTTGTCAATTGCATCAATCAAGAGAGTTAACAGAAAAGGCGGAAAAATCAGCTAAACTTTTACAGGTAATTTGAAGATGTCTGATATATACATGTACTAATGCTGAATTGCTTATTGGTAACATTAGTATTATTTAGGAATGTGTGTGTTTTACACTGTGATTCGTTTTTCTAAAGGGGATTCAGTTTTTACTGAAGTTTGTACTGTGACGCAATGCCGAATCTCTTTATTAAAAATATTTTATCTCATCTAGCCCTATCAAAACGGAATTCGTTTATACCACATAGCATTGTAGAACTGATACTTAAATGTATTTTGTTATAGTTACTTCTGGTAAATCAGTACGAGTAAATTCTTCCGTGTATTGGTCTATTTGATCGATTACCCAGCAGCTTGCCTCTATTTTATTTTGTTTTCTGCAGTCTTTTCTGACTGGTTCCACGATTGCTTACCAGCTTTCATTTTCTCCCTATACAATCTCTGCCATGTCACTCTCGGTTGCCCAACTCTTCGCTTGCCATTTGGTTTCCATTCTAAGGTCGTCTAACATTCCCCCCAATGTACATCCATTCCATCTCCATTTCCCTCTACATATTTCTTGGTTTTGCTTTTGGTCGGTCCACTGCACTGCTAGAATTTTTATTTCTTTCTCCTTTCTGGATATCTGGTCGTCAGTATCGAGCAAGGACATCTGTTGGTTGATGAGTTCGCAGTAAGATATTGAAAATGTGTTTTGTGACTCGTCACGTCTGAGCCGCATAGAAGCTCTAACTTGATATGATTAGTGAAAATTCTAATATTGTTCTTCATGTTGAGTGCAGTAGACTTTCACACTGATTTCACAATAACGGTCTGTCTTATTTTCCGGGTTTTGGCTTTGATATCCTCGTCAATACCGATTTTAAATGGTACTTTACCGTTCAGTTGACAAATGAAAGATATGACTTCCTTCAAATTTGTCCCGTTGGTGTTGATGAGTGGTGCTTGGTGTTGTTTGTTAGGTACTTTTATCTTCTCTGTCTTTTTTCGATCACTTGTAATCCTCTCTTTACTGCCTTTCCTGCCAACTCGTTGACTTTCACCTGCAGGTCTTCGAATATGGCGAAAGAAATGGAAGTCTGCTGCAAAAGCAATAGCGAAGGCTGTTGATAAATTTCAGCCAGTGGATTTCGATGGTTTCATTAGGACAGAGCTATGATTGGAGACAGATTATGGCTGACGTCGAACATGACCAGGAATGAAATCCGCTTAAACAAAAGATGATGACCCCGAACATTGGCGAATGATAATAGCGAAACATTTCGGTCAGGAATAAATAATACCCAACAACTGTTTATATCGATTAAGGAGATGTGTCCTCTGTTGGGTGAGATATTGCAAAGAAGTTCAGTAACTTCTGAGCAGGGATGACCGCAACGTTGGGTTAGAATTTTAGCTATCCTGTAGCTGCGCTGTAATTGCTTAGTATCCTACTTCAACAGAGTAGCTAAGGCAGCAAAAACTGCCTCTAATCTAAAACCAGGCAAATATATTAGGATGTGTTTCTATGACTGCAGATGTGTTTAAAGAATGCGGTGATAAGATTTTGGCGAGATGAATCAGGATTTCAGATGATATTATTTTAGGTGAAGACTCTGAAAATTGTGACAACTGTTTTTATTTCTCACTGATATATTTTTAACAAAATAAGTGAAGAGGGAATGGTTTACTTTAATTTTAGAATAATTAATCGAAATTACTTAGGTTAACTCTCGGATTTTATATTGTCATCTTTAGATATGTAAAATAACAGTGTATCTGGTATTCTGATACAGCTTGTGTCCGCTCCACTTTTTGTGGTTGGGATAATTAGGCAAGTATTTCGTTAACTTCTAGTGCATGTTACATTTCTTAAAAATAGTAACACTTGGAGTGTTATTGCTAATTTTATCATGTTATTCAACTTTGTAGGAACGTGTTGTTTCAATGGAACATGAATTATCCACTCTACGCGGTATTGGTGAAAATCCTGGACCTAGAGAAGTTCTGTTAGGTGGTCAGTTAGAACGTTTAAAGGGAGATTATGTTCGTCTTGAGGAAGAATTACAGGTGCGTAAAGTATTTTATATTCTAATAGCTTCATGTCTTCATTATCTCAGAATTCTCTTTTTAATACATTATTGATTTTCTCTTCACTTAGGTGACACGTACTCGTTTACAAGCTGCTCTTGGTGCAGAGGCTAAAGCATTGGAAGCTGAAAAAGCTGCAAGTGAACGTTTAGCTGCAAGTGTAGCAGAAAGAGATGCAGCTGTTGATCGAGCTAGAGCAGTCTGTGAGTCTCATTATACTGCAATGCGTCGACGTTTGGAAGTGGATTGGGCGAATGAAAAAGAAGCGTATGCGCGTCGTGCTGAAGAGAAGCTCGCAGATATGAGGTTAGAGTTTGAGTTTATGTTATGCTTACGTTACGAATTAGCAATTTTACAACCAATTATCCTACCTTATATATATATATATATATATTTTATACAAAGCTTCACAGTAGGTAGATATTCCACTAGTTCACGAGTTGTTTGAACGTTAGTGGTCAATGTTTATAAAACTAATATTCAATTATCTATATGGGGTCTTGCTGATTGACTAGTGTTTTGCTAGTATAACTTATTTAGAAGTCTAAGAAAAAGTTTTAATAGCTTTGTAAAAATTTTTTATTCCCTTACGTTCCCAGTGGAATTTAGGGCTTCAAGCTAAAGGCTTGAAGTTTCCGTAGCAGTGGTGTTTATTCTTACGGGATGGGGTTGCCCAATCTTCCCTCTTTACTAGTCTTATTAATAGCTTAGCGAGGTTAAGGAATGCGTTGACCGGGGATCGAACCCTGAACCACCTGCGTGGTCGGCGAGCACTCTGCCGCTGTGCCACCGACGCTTTGTAAGATATCAAGTCATTTTGTGCTTGCCTATTTTATGATCTCCGGTAGTAAATACATGCGAATAACTGACATTCTTCTATTGTTGTTGACACTGGTTTTCCCCTAACTCCTAGTACTATCAATCTTGTATTTTAAGAGGTGTATCGGAATAATTGTTTGGAGAATCCTTACTGAACGATCTATTTACGATATTGCTACTTATTTAGACATTCCATCTACCTTTGTAAAATGGAATGTACCTCCAGGAACATGGCAAGTCCCTTTTTATGCATTTTCACGTCACGTCTCTCATTTGAGTTTAATTAAAGATCATTCATGGTCTAATCTCAAAGTAGCCTGAGATGAGTTTAGGCAAAAAAATGGAATTGGAATTTCATGAGTTCCTGGCTAAACATGAAGCAGAATTGCAGTGTTTTCCAAGACAGCTAGGCTTGCTAAAGCTGTCCATTGATGATAGGGAAGTGTCTGATCCTCTTACTCAAACAGCACCGTCCTTGGTGTCTACTTTCACTTTGCGAACAAAGGTCAGTGAAAGTGTTATAAACTTCCCCATCACCATCGAATAGGTATAACAAGCTTAGTTCTCTTTGAAAACATCGCAATTCCGCTTCATGTTTATCCTGGAACCCACGACATTCCAAATCCACTTTTTGTCTAAACTCATCCAAGGCTACTCTAGAGTTAGACCAAACATGACCATTAACTAAACTCAAATGACAGCCATGACATGGAAATGCAAAAAAAGGAACAATGTCGTTGGGCAGCTATACAAACAAGTACTATGCAGCGCAATTATTTCACCAAAATCAACCGTATGAAGGACCAGAGAATCATGATGAATATTCCCAACAAGGTGTGATCAAAAATCTTCCAGCAAGAATCATAGGAGTATCATTTTTAGTATAATAGTTCCCAGATCGTTGGATTAAGGGTACATCGTTGTGCTTTTCCCTGGATTTCGTTAAGTTTGTTTTGACAGTAAACTCCAGTGTAACCTATCTTCATCTGTTTTAGAAAAGAGCTTTATGGGATGCAACAGGAAGTTCAACGGGTTACAAATTTATATCATGAAAGTCAAGTATCTGCTAAGAAGGCTGTAGAAGATGCCCTACTGGAAGTGAGTAGTAGTAGTAATAGTAGAATACTAGTAACATTATTTCTATTTGTTGTATTTGTGCATAATATGTAAAATAATTCGTTTGCTGCACTAATTAAGAATGATTTCCAGATCATTTATGGGAGTGGAGGGTAAGCTAATGAGCCACATCTAAATGTCCCTTCATTCATTGCTGAGCATTTAAGTAGTTTGCTCATATATTTTATTATTTTCTATCTTGATTATTTCCATAGACAGTTTTATTGCATAGTTCTGTAACTGATAAGAAAATTATAACCAATAATAGTTAGTTCTAAACCAGTCATGTATGTCTGGTTCATTTCGTGTTTTCGTATCGATTGTTTAAACGCATAATGGGTAATTTATTTGAAGATGAAATGGGATTCTGATTGGCAGCATGATTCGAATCAACTGTCTCCGCATTACTGATGCAGTGCTCATTTCACCCTTAATCACTACCACTTTCCTCATTAACAGTCTAGCGATCCAAGGCTATGTCAGACAGTCTTACTATCGGTTTAAATGCATGGTGCTATGTGGTACTGATTGATAGGATAAGAGAGTAGTCAAATACCAATCATATCAACCTGTAATGCTTGCTAGCCAGATGGAAATGATCTAAACGCCGGACAGCTGTTTCTCTGCTTTGGGACCAAACTCACCAATGGTGTAGCCGGTGACTTACTACAGAAGTCGTGACCAGTGAGGTCCATCCAGTCGGGACTGAGGATGGAGTTCCCGACGAAGCCATTGGTTAGTGGTCGCGCTAAAATCACGAATTGGTAGAAGTTAGAAATCATGGGCCATTGAATTGGGTCCCAGTTGCTGAATGGTATACGAGCTTGCATTGTAACCGGAAGGTCCTAGGTTCGTCCCTCCGGTAGTGTGTGCATTATAAAGTTACATAGATTGAGATGGCTAGGACACGTGCTGCGCATGACTAACCATCGCCTCCCCCGACGGGCATTACTTGATGAAATAGGTGCAGGCTGGAAAAGAGTAAGTGGTGGCCAAACGAAAACATGGTATCAATCCATGAAATCCTTGACAGTTAAACTGAGTCCAGGTAGGGAGATGCAGACTTCCGGGTTGGGGCCCTCGGGACTCTAAGAATCAATGGCTGGAGACAACAGGTGACGAGCCTCAAAATCGTTGTCAATGGCTTACGCAGATGTATTCAGTCTCTGTAATCTTTCATATTCCTTTCTACCATTACTCATTCTGTTTCACTCTTATACTTGTCAAAAGTCTAATGATTCTCTTGACTCATCTTCTTGTCTACGTTTTTGTGCTATTTGGGACGTGGCAACTCGAACTGCTGCACTTCGGTGCCAAGTTCTATGTTGACACCAGACAGACAGAGTGTGTGCATACCACCGTTGAGTCCCGAAATAGAACGAAACAGTTGTCCAGTACTCCCTGGTTTTCAATAGTTCTCTAACTGATATATGTATGATATGTCCGCTTAAATTTAATAAGTAGCGTTATCTCTGCTTGTATTTTCTTTTAAGTTTTTTTGTGAATTAATTACTTAGCATTTTCTGATAGTAGTAGTTCATCTTAATTTTCTATACTTAGTATAGATTTGTTATATGGTACTAACTTTTAGGCTATGAAGTTAAGAGAAGCTGAAAGAATGAAATTTTGGAGAGAAGAGCTGCCTGAACAAGTAAGTATTTTACTAAGTGGTTCGTTTTTTTTATCGCTCATCTACTTCATTGAAATGAAATAAGCCTTCCTTGAATTACAAATGTCAACTGATTAAGTAGAATTAAGGAAATAAATGAAAGTTTGTATTTGGCAGATTGAATTTCAAAGTAGAACTTTTCAAAGAAGAAAACGTGTTCAAGTTGCCACACTGCCTACAGCATACGAATGTGGAGAAACGGAAAGAAAAAAGATATTCAAAAGAAATAAAATGAGCAGAAATGTACGAGAGAAAGAATAATTACACAGAGAAACATGATGACTTTATCCATATGGGAGATTACAAAGAGTGAATTTATCTAAGCCAATGAAAACAACATTGAGCTGTATCACTGATAGTCTCCTACCACTCAGTCCACACGTTCATACGTGTCTTCCCCAAACTGCTAGTCAACGACTTCACGAACTGAAGAAAGGTTTTGCTTTGAGCACGTCTAACTCACTTCCAACCTAATCTTACACCGGCTAACATTTCTTGTCGAGCAAGCCGGCGGCTTGACATGCATAGTGATCTCAATCAACGTACCTTCACAACCTCAGAAAGATTGTGAAATCAGTTATTTCTCATAATCTCCTTTTTGTTTCTACAACTAGTGTGCCCTGGCGAATTCGAAAGCTTTTGTCATTGTCTTCCATGCAGTATTAAGGTTAGTAATCAGGTTATTATATAGTACCGGACTATGAACCACACATAGTGTAAGGACTGATGGTACTGCCCAGCTGCTCAGAGTGAATTAGTTAGAGAAAAAGATTCAAACTCAGGATCCACTAGCTGAAAGCTGAATGATTAATCCAATAAGTGGTGAATGTAAATTTCATTCAATTCGATATGAACTATACATATATATTCTAAATGAGCATTTATTTCTCTAGACTGTCTTGTGTTTTCACTTTCCAATTTCGTAGATTGAAGTTGCACGTCAATCGTGGTTATCGGAGATGAAAGGGCAATATACAAGTGTCAATCCAAGTAAGTGTTGAATATTTGTTGATTTAGGATAATTATTTCTCCAGACATCATCAACCACTGTTTATTTCATGATCATTTTCTTATAATGCGTGTCACAGAAGACATAAATTCTCCAGAATGGTGTACGTGTAGACAGATTTTAAGTTTACTTGATTGATGAAAGCCAAGACTTGTTTTGGATTGATATTATTATTATTTCCTTTAATTCCTAGAGGAACATAGGGCTTCAGTCGCACGTCCCCAGTGCGTTCGGTTCTCTGCTAATGTTTTCACCTCGCTCTATGTCTGCCCACACGCTTTCATCTCCTCTTCACATGACCTCCTCCAAGTCACCCTTGCAATGATGACCAACTCTCCGCTTCCCTTTCGGGTTCCACTCGAGCAATGGCTTGTCTAGTGATGTCACTTGATGGTTGGTTTCCTCAGAGTATGGCCAATTCATCTCCATTTCCTTCTGCATATTTGTTTCACAATCAGTTCCTGGTTGGTTCGCTCCCAAAGATCCCTGTTGCTGATCTTTTCTGGCTATCTGATCTTGAATATTGAGGAAAGACAACTGTTAATGAAGGTCTGTAGTTTGTTTGAGATGCTCTTTATGACGCGCAGTGCAAGTCTCTGATCCGTATAGTAAGTAGCACTGACTTTACATTGGAGTTGAAAATCCGGATCTTATTTTTCATGCTGAGTGCCGAGTGTTGATCTCCACACAGACTTGAGAGAAATGAAAGCTTGTCTTTCTTTCCCGATCCTTGCTTTGATGGATATAAATGCGTCCAAGTAGGTGATGGTGTTTCAATAAGGCTTTTAAATTAGCTCCTTGCAGTTTCAGTTTAACACTGTCACTCAGATGTAGTCGTTGTAGCAAGAGACTTCAATGGTTCAAGTAGAGAAGTCGTGCTAGTCAGGAAAGAATATTGGTGGCACTGGAACCCAAGTAGCTTTGTGAGAGCTTGTGAAGAGTTGTCGTCTAGAGTGATGATAAGCAGTGGTGTTTGTCAGAGATACCCACTGTCCTCATTTCTGTTTAACTTCATCATAGATGTCTTAATGGAATTGACCCTAACTGAATTTAGTGACTTAAGGATTGACTTCTTATCAGCATGCAGTCTTGTAGACTTGGATAACGTGGATAACATTGTTCTCCTAGGTGAAGACGCCTACAAAATGTAAAGTCTTCTGAACATCTTGAACAGAAATCCTCGAACGTTTGGCATACTATTCGCTTCTATCAAATGTAGGATGATGCTGCAGGACTAGACTGTATCAACCCTTAGTTTAAGGATAGAAAGTGAAGTGGTTAGCGTAAAAATTTGAAGTCTGCTATTATTATAATTTTCTTGGGTCCAGAGAGGGCGATAGGGTTTCAACTGCACATCTCCATTTCACACTACTATCTGCAATCTTTTTCAGCATGGCCCATAATTTCCCATAAACTTTCATTTCTTCCCGAAAGGCTCTCTTCCGGACACCCAACTCGTCGTTTTCCATTGAGGTTCCACGCGTTATGTCACTCAACGGTCTTCTTCTGCTTAACAGTAACAGTAATTGCACTATATATATATATATATATATATATGTATAAGTGAGTGTTTTCATTGTCCTTCTAGCTAACATCTTCAGCTGTCACTTAAATATTGTTTAGGAGGATAGTGAAAACTTCGTGGTCAAATCATCCAGCTCCGAGAACACAACCACATAAAAAAATAAGTCTACCTAAGCTAAAAATCTCCGTTATTTCAGGATAGCTCAGCTAACTTTACTTCTACTCACTTTTCGTTTCTTTTTTCGTAGGTCATAAAAGCGTGCAAACAGAACCATCTGCTGATACCTCCGACGCCTTACAGTCTTCTGTACATATCCAAACTGTAAGTTGTCACTTGCTTCAATTAGGCGAATATTTGAAAATTAATAAAACGATATTTGTTTTTGTTTACATTGATATAAAGGAAATATTTACAATTATTATCACCATGTTTGTTCTTTCTCATTGTACATTTTAATGTTCTCAACTTTAGCTTGTTTTATTTGTAAGTCCACCGTTTAAGGCTTTTATCATTGAGGAACATTGCTGACTAAACTCCTAAGAAGTCGCAGTAAAATACATGCGTTCATTATCCATCTTCCATGGTGCTTTTTTTCACTTTTCGCGTTCTAAGTGGAGCATATGGCTTCAACCTTCGTGTTTAGTAGACTAACTTTCATATTTCTTTCTTCTCCGAGCTTAATATGAGCTAGTAAACTAGTTAAGGTTTGGGAGTGTATCAGCGGGGAATCGAAGTTGGATCTCCCACGTATCTGGCGATGCTTTTAGGTGGCCAGTGTATCATGCAGCAAGTTACTGATGTTACTGGAATGCATTATTAAATTCGATAACATTTTTTTTCTTCCTTCGCGTTCCCCAGTGGAACATAGGGCTTCAAGCTAGTGACTTGAAGTTTCTGTAGCAGTGTTTATTTTACAGGATGGGGTTGCTAGCCTCATGCCCAACCTTTCCTCTGGCTTAGCGAAGTAAAGGAGTGCCTCGACCGGGGATCGAACCCCGGACCATGTGCATGGTCGGCGAGCGTCCTAACCGCTTTGCCACCGACGCATAAATTCGATAACATAGTATCTAATAATTCATTGTATGAACCACGAAACGCAAACTCATTATTTAGCATTAGGAATTGATTTCATTTTCGTACCATGTATAACAGGATTCTGTTTTTCTTCTTCTTTTCTTTTACCTTCCAGAGCCTTTGTGATCTACTATCAATTAAGCTTGGATTAAACTTGAGTGATAATTCAACATTCGATAATACTGAAATGCTTGAAATCAAGTCTATTCTACTTAATAAATATCCTATATTATCTCAATTCATGTCTATGGAATGTATTCATTACTTATGTACACATTTAATTGAAACACCGTGTATGAATTTATTATATTTGGAGAAAGAAATTTCAAATTCTTTTCATACTCTCCTTGAAATACGACTTCAAAATTTCTTGAAACAAATCAACAATGAATTGAACAAATTAATCGATGAATATAAAGTAAGTGTGGTTTATTATGTTTTTTGTTGCTTATTTATTTTGAATACTTAATTCATAGAAGAGATCATGTGATGGGAAGATGAAAGGCCTATTAGCAATCGCGCGGGTTCATCCAAAGAGGACTGCAAAGAATAAGTCAAAGTGATGTTCTGTTGAAGCCCTACACTGCACTCAAAACCCAAGGAATTAATTGATTATTAATTACCTACTACCTTGCCCTCTCCTTGGTTTTTAATGATTCGCTGTACACCGTGCCACATAATATAATCAGACTGCTGTGGAATTGTATTCTTTTACAGTGATCGAAAGTTGCTCTTCATGCGATTGATTATTCATCTTCATAGAGCTCAATATACCTTTCATTTCTTTGGTCTTATTAGATTTATATCGGATTAAGTGAAATATTGTTATTATTACTGTTGCATTGGGTTCCGAGTGGAACATAGGGCTTCAACAACACATCTCCACTTTGTTCTATTTTCTTCTGTCCTCTTCAACTGGGTCCACGATTACCCATAATCTCTCATCTCCTCTCACGATCTTCTCCATGTTCCCCTTAGACAAGCCACCCGTCCTTTCCCATCCAGGTTCCACTAGAAGGCCTGGCGCGCGATGTCATTCAACGGTTTCCTTAGGGTATGCTCAATCCATCTCCTTTTTTCTCCTACATATTTGTTAAACAGTATTTTCTTGGTTAGTTTGTTCCCATAGTTTCTTTTTGCTAACTCAAGTGAAGTATACGATTGCCAAATTCATAATTTCATCTTTTACTGGTAAAAAGTGTAAGCTACCCAGGAAATGTGTGGTGTTTCTTGGTCAGTGAAGATTTTTCAATGTTTTAGTGCGAAGAACTGAAACTTATCCGAGTTGTTAATTTTAAATAATCGAGTGTCTTCACATGTATTAAAATTTGTTTAATGTGGCATATTCATCTTTTCAACTTATCTTATGTGTATACATGTAGTCAGTGACTAAATGTTTTTTTTTATCTAGCATCATAAAAATCTTGAAAATTATTCACTTGAACACATTCGTTCACCACAGTATTTATTCCACAAGGCTTAGCAGTCAATTCCATGATTTATGTTTTATCTTTTTCCATACTTCTTAGCTATGCCTGATTACTCTCCATTTAATACTTTCATTATTTTATTTTACTCCTTCACCTTACGAGTAAAGCATCAAGCTTTGAAGTTTCATTAGCAGTAGCGCTGTTACGTTTTATACGGAATGAGGTTGCTTGCCTCACGTCCAACTTTCCTTGTTTATATGGCTGACTACCAGCTAAACAAGGTTCGGAATTGTGTCGTCCGGGTTTCGAACCCCGGGCCACATTCACAGTTGGTTAGCATGCTACAGCTGAACCATCTTCAATTATACCTCGAAATTATTGTTTGTTGTCATGTCAAATAGAAGAACGGTAGGCTCTAGGCTGTTGAACCGAAAAATTCATATTATTGTACAAGACATAATGAGTAAATTTTCAAGTTTTACTTTTCATTTAGCCATACAAATGGAATAGTCAAAAATCTTAATTCACCTTACTTTACTCTGTCTAGGTGACTCATATTTTCAGTGAAAATACTGACAGGGCTGTTTTGTCAGATAACGCTGTGATTTTAAAATGCTTTGGTCCGCTACAGTCAATTTCTGTGAATGGAGAACCTGATAAAACGACTGCCGACTGTATTGCACATAATCTAAGTGTAAAAACTACAGATACTCAATTGTCTAACACAATTAGCAGTGAATATCAATCATTCATGACAAAAGTTCGTATATTAACTTCAAGCGTGAGTAAATCAAGTGATTGTTCACCATCGTCTGATCTACATAATTCACTGTCGACTTGTGAACATAAATTTGTACAAGTTAGCGATCTTGAAGCTCCTTATTATTATTCTATCCTTGAAAAAATTAAAGGTATGTATGTATTCCAACTTTTTACCTGTTAAAAATTTAAGCTGTTTGTTATCTTCTCATGAAACTAATATTTATTCTTGTGATTTTTGAATAAATGTTACTGAATTTCTGCCTACTATGCGATGTAAACTAAACCATTTTGACTGGTTTCAACGTAGACCTTTGCACAGATGTGCAGCAGTTCGAAATGCCACACTCCATGTAGTACACAAAGCAAGAGAAGGGAGTAAAGAGAGGTAAATAAATAGAAATATGAGGCGAAAAGAATAGTAATATGAAAGAACAACAGAATTTTATTGGATATTATAAATCACAAGGAGTGGATGCATATGAGCCATTGATAACCATTTTAAGCCAGCTATTGGTTCTTATCGTCCTGAACACCTCAACCAGTCAGGAAGTCTACACATCCCGATGTGGCTGAAACTACCTGTTAAAGGTTTCATACACTAATGGTATTGTTTTCGTTTGACTACCAACAACCCTTTTCCAATATAGTCCTATGTCAGTCAGCTAACATTGCCTGTCGAGGAAGTCTGTAGATGGCTAGGCATGCGTAACATATGTCTAAGCCATCTCAAGCTCATCGATTTACTTTCCCTTCTCACCTAATCCTCGGCGCCTAAACTCAGTATGACCCACCCTATTATAATACTTAACACGGAAGATAGAACACAGCCACTTATGATCAAAGACAGCTAGCCGGCGTTTTCATGTCTTACACTTTCAGTAGCTATATCTCACCGTCGAAATTGAGAAGAGAGCCAACTGCTGAGCAATACACATGTCGTTGGATTGATAGCCGGATATCGCATCTACGCCGGAGGTGACGTTAGTTGGCATCATCAAGTCATCAAGATTATCCCCTGGCAACAAGTCAATCCCTTAGTCGCTGAAGTCAATTAGGGTTAATTCCAGTAGTACATCTATGATGAAACTAAACAGAAATGGGGAAAGTGGGCTGGCATCCCTGATGGACACCACTGGTTGTCACCACTTCATATGAGAACTACCCATAGGTTCTCACCTGACTGGTTGCATGATTTCAAGTAGATTGCCTTGATCAGTGCAATGTATTTTCTCAGCATTCCCTTCACAGTCATTTAACGACTAGGTTGTCACCATTACTGTGGATATTATCTGAGTGGATTGTGAGTGTTTGATTTATTTAATGAAGGGCTATTGTTGAAAAAATTTTTAATCACTTTCCAGAGACCAATAGACTAGCGCTTTGGTAGCCGGATTTCTTCTCTGTGTAGGTCATTTTTGGTGTTTTGCTAGTTGTTGTAATGAATATAACTCATTTATCCTCATAGAGGTACATCAGTCAACATTAGTAGCAGTATTAACAAATTCATCATATAAGATGGCTAGGGTTGTTCTTGATAGATAATACCACGACTTTGGAAGCTATTACGCGATTCACTGGACTGCGTGCTTATGGAAGTGGGTAGACGGCTATTTCTTCCTGGCTTTCGAAACTAAGGAGGTCGATTTCTTCTTGGGGTACCTTAAACAGAAGGAGCATTAGTGTTAAGTGACCGTAGAGCCGAGGGGAAAACTACTTGAGGCTTGTCACACTACCTGTTTGAAGTAGTTTTTGGAGTTGTGGACGGCCGAAAAGTTGTCTGTCTGTCTGTCTGGATTCAACATAGAACTTGGCACCGAAGTGCAGCAGTTCCAGTTGCCACGTTCCAAATAGCACACAAAGGTAGACAAGAAAATGAGTGAAGAGAATCAATAGAGTTTTGACAGGTATAAGAGTAAAACAGAATGAGTAATGGTAGAAAGGAGTATGAAGGTTAAAGAGACGGAATACATCTGCGTAAGCCATTGACAACGATTTTGAGCCATGTCACCTATTGTCTCCAGCCATTGATTCTTAGAGTCCCGAGGGCCCCAACCCGGAAGTCTGCATCTCCCTACCTGACTCAGTTTAACTGTCAAGGATTTCATGGACTGATGCCATGTTTTTGTTTGGTCACCACTTACTCTTTTCCAATCTGCACCTATATCAGCTACTAATGCCCGTCGGGGGAGGCGATGGTTAGGCATGCGCAGCAAATGACCTAGCCATCTCAATCTATGTAACTTTATAGCCTCTTCGAATGATTTTCCCTCTTTGCCCAACACTCTACGCCTAACGTCAACATTACTTACCTTATTATACCACCTAACGCGAGAAAGAGATCGTAAACATCTGTGGTCAAAAACAGACAATCTCTTCATGTCTTCGGCTCTCAATGGCCACGTCTCACCGCCATAAAGAAGGATGGAGCGAACTGCTGAGCAGTATACACATACCTTGGTTGACAGTCGGATGTCACGCCTACGCCAGAGACGGTGTAAGTTAGCGAAAGCAGCCCTAGCTTTCTGGATCCGTGCTGTGATTTCGTCACCGATCAATCCGTTGGTGCTGATACAACTTCCCAAATAGGTGAAGTGGTCAACATGTTCTATCACTTCACTCCCTATCACTAAGCTTGGAGTTGACGTAGTCCAGTACTGTAGCAGCATCTTACATTTCACAGGGGCGAATCGCATGCCAAACATACGAAGATTGCTGCTCAAGGTGTTCAGAAGACTGCATTTTGTCAGCGTCCTCCCCTAACAGGACTAAGTCGTCTGCGTATTCTAAGTCTTTAGGACTATGCCCTGGTAACAAGTCGATTCCTAAGTCGTTACGTTCGGTTAAGGATACTTCCATTAGCATATCTATGATGAATTTAAACAGAAAAGGGGAAAGTGGACATCCCTGACGGACACCACTGGTTGTTATCAATTCAGATGACAATCCCCCATAAGCCCTTACACAGCTACGTGAGTTTGAGTAGAGTGCCTTGATTAGTGCAATGTACTTTC